TGTTTCGCTAAAAGGACCAGAAACTAACAATTGCATAGAAGAGAAGGAGAACTAACATGATATTTGCTGACATCCCAGGATTCACAGCAGTTTGTACATTTTAACCTCTTCCCCCAACCTTGTGTCTGTCTTGCCTATTTAGTTTGTAAGCCTTTTGGTACAAGGATCATTAACTACTCTGTGTTCCGCCTGTTCGAATAGGGAAGTATTCAGTTTGGATTTGGATTTGGATTCAGCCGATTCAGAGGACAGTGATTCGATTTGGTGGTTTGAATCACTGTCCCCATTTGATTTGGTCGAATTGGCTTTGAAAGATTCGGCACTGATTTGGAGAGAGTCAGTGATTTGGATTGGCCAGGGAGAGGCAGGCACAGCCGGACAGCTGCAGGTTCTCTTGTGGCTCCTCCAGCTGCGCCTGCCTCTCCCTGGGTGGGGGGGGAACTGCGGGAGAAGCCCCCATGGCTGCCCTGCCTGGCCCCAGCCTCCCAGCACTTAAAAAAAAAAAAAAAAAAAAAGGCTCTGCACTCACTGGGTGCAGCAGCAGCAATGATCAGGGCCTCTGGGCACTCATGACAGAGCCCCCCTGTGCAGCATGGGGCATCGAGGATCACCTCTCCCCCCCGCCTGGCACCTGCATGGTAGCTACCTCATGGCATGGGTGCAGTGCAGCTCAGCAGGGCTCTGTGCACTGTCTGGGGGCTGGGGCTGCTGGGGCTGAGCGCTGCTAGGCTCCAGGTGACTGTTACAGCCAGTGAGTGTGGGGCTTTTTTTTTTAAGTGCTGGGAGGCTGGGGCTGGGCAGGGCAGCCATGGGGGTTTCCCTTGTGGCTCCCCCGAACTGGGGAGAGGCAGGCACAGCTGGAGAAGACATGGGAGAACCTGCAGCTGCCCGGCTGTGCCTGCCTCTCCCCAGCCAATCTGAATCTCTGAATCTTTTTCAAATCAATTCTGATGCTTCGAAATAATTTGGAGCTTTTGATGGGTCTCCCTATTTGATATAGGGAGACCCATCAGGGCAGACCCTACAGTGAGAGACTGCAGGACCTGAACCTATTCAGCCTCCATAAGAGAAGGCTGAGGGGGGACCTGGTGACCGTCTATAGACTCACTAGGGGGGACCAGAAGGGTTTGGGGGAGACGCTGTTTCCCCTAGCGCCCGCTGGCATAACAAGGAGCAATGGGCACAAGTTGATGGAGAGGAGGTATAGATTGGACATCCGCAAGAACTACTTCACAGTTAGGGCGGCTAGGAGCTGGAACCAACTTCCAAGGGAAGTGGTGCTGGCCCCTACCCTGGGGGTCTTTAAGAAGAGGCTGGATGCCTACCTGGCTGGACTCATTTGAGTCCCGTTTCTCTTTTGGGGTTTTTTGTTGTTCTCCCGCCCTGGCGGGGGGTCGGGCTAGAAGATCTACTAGGTCCCTTCCGACCCTTAATCTATGAATCTATGAATCTATATGGATTCGGAGATTCAGCCCCACCCTGAATCGAGCCAAATCTCTTCCGAATCAAATCATCAACCGAAGCTTCGCACAGCCCTACTCTGTGTCTGTACAGTGGCTAGCATAATGGGGTCCCATACTTGTTTGGTCTTCAGGCCAAGGTAGTACAGGTAATAGTGATGATGATGATTACAGTAACTGGGTGCAGACAGAAGTGTAGCTCCCAGCTGTAATTCAGAAGGATTTCTGCAGAATGATATGAGTTACAATGTTACCCCAGATCAAATAGAAGTTCACTGTTGGTTCCTGGAGAGGAGGGGAAATCTAGATGCATGCTAGGAGCCTCAGGTTCCCATAGCAACAGCCACGGCTCTCTGGCAGTGTTCCTGTTTTCAGAATGGGAGGTGGGAAAGGCAGAAGAGGGAGTTCATTCTTGGGACTCCCCAGCTGGTGCTGAAGGGTGAGGTGGGTGAATTGAAGCCTTCCACCTTAGGGGGGCTACATTACACCTGCCCCACCCTCCAGGGGGGTTTGAAAACTCCCCAGACTGAACTCCCTCTGGTCCCTTTCCCCCCTCCCATTCTGAAAACAGTGACAGGCTGGGAGCTCAGCAGACACAAGTGACAAAAGATTTTGAAACATCTTTATCTGATACCACATGCAATGAAGGGTCCGATTTTCACCCAGTTGGCCATTTTTGAAGTTGTTTGCAGCTGTGCACTTGTGTTAGGTCATGGATATAAATTGCTTTTTCTGGCCAGATCAGGTAAAAATCATCACCTCTGTCTGCACCCAAATGTTATAAGCTTATCAATGACTAAGTTGAAAAAGATGGCAGAGAGAGAGAGAAAGTCCTTGAGAATGAACATAGCAGATTTTGGGATTGCGGGTTAGTTAGGTACTAAGGGGAAAGAAGTTGCTACATAAATTATTAGTAGATTAAAATTAAGATAATAAATAAATAAGCAAACAGTTGACACCCACTTCTGAAAATGTATTTAAGAGAGGTGAACTGTATAGTTCACTGCAGAGACTGTAGGATGTACAACTATTTCCCTTGTGTTCAAATAATAACCAAACAACAACTGCACACCAGAATGAACACACACTGGAAATCCATCAAAGACAGGAATACCCAATTACCTGTGGGGGCACATTTCTCACAAGAAAACCACTCTCTCTCCAATCTCTCAGTCCTGATCCTCAAAGGAAACTTACAAAACACTTCCCAGAGATGAGCCTATGAACTCCACTTCATCAACCTCCTGGATACTAAAAATCATGGACTAAATACAGACATTGGATTTATGACACATTATAACCTTCCTGACATCTGACTCCCCAGGTACCTCTCCACTATTCATCCCCCTTCTCTCTTTTCCCCACCCCCCCAGCCTGTCTCTCACCCATTGACTCCTCAGTCTACATTTTCACTGACTGCCTGTCTTGTATGCATATCAGCCCAGCCTCTGGCTTCTTTACTTTTCATTCCATCCAGGAAGAGCACACACCACCTGCTGAAACTTCTTTAGCCTGACAAAAGGCTTTTGAACCCAAAAGCTTGTTTAATAATTGTTTTCCAACTATTTAAGTTGGTCTAATAAAAGAGATCAGATTCATGCAAAGAACCTTGTCTGCCAATAGTAAGTGTAGGCATTTATTTCTTATTAAAATGAGCTACTACTGAAGCACAACACTGGAGAATATCAAAAATCCATTGACAAAGTCCTTCATATGGGTTATAAGGGACATTAAATGAGCAGGAAATGAGATGTAGAATACACCCTTCGATTAGTTTTTATTTATGTTTACATTTAAAAGTGTTTTCTGGTGTAACTACACCAATAGAAATATATTAGCCCCTAGAGAAGGTACGACTACCCTAAAGCTACCAAAATTCTGTGAAGTACAATACAGGACACCTATATTGACTCAGTATGGCTCAAGACAACACTGTAATGATATAGGGTATGCAAGCTCCAAGCACCACTTATTGGTGCATGTGTGGTATAGCACTACTTTTAACTTTTAAGCAGAGACAAGGCCTCAGACTGCTAGAAGTATACGAGGTTTTTGTGAGTGTGTTTAAGTGATGTTTGCTGACTGCAAAGGAATGGTGAGACTCAGAGATTTTGAGTCCCATCCCAGATTTTGGAGCACAGTGTCTTCTAATGAAACCATTTGCTTCTGCTCCTTTCTCTAAGCTTGACAACAGTAGTGTAATAAGGGGTGGATATGCCCTGCACCAAGCCCGGGTGTTGATTTAAAGGGCATGCCATAATGGCAGTCCCTGGGGACATCATACTGCTATTATTGCCTGCACTGTCATAGCAGCTGCCTGTGTTCAGGGAACAGGTGCCATGGGACTAGCTGTGCTGCCACAGCAGATACAATGGTCCTGTGTGAGGAAGTAAGCAGTCAGCATGCCCCCTCTTCCCCTACTCACTTTCCAGGACACAGCACACCCTCTTACCCCCCTTCCTGCCCAGGGCACTAAAATTCCTAGTTTTGCCTCTGCTTGACCTTGTCTGCCCTTCTCTTCCAAAATGTCCCTGTCCCACTCCCGTCTTTACCCCACCACTAGTTCCTCACCCCCGTCCCATTTGTCTCACATGCCAGTCCTACCTCATATCCCTAAGATTTAGGATTTTTGAGAGCAAATTTCCTAAATGCCAATAGGCAAATCATTTAAACCAAACTTTTTGCAGTTGGCAACTAATTAATTGTTTACAGCATTTTCTCAGTGCTGAGCTGATAGCCTGGGGAATGATTTACTCACCGCTCAGCACAAGTCAGTGGGAGCCCTGCTTTAAATGTGAACACTTGTAGTTTAAGTACTATAAAAGTATACCAGTTTAATATGACAAGTCTGAAAAATCCGATCCTCTGTATCCCATGTATACCCAATTAGAGGAGGCTTTTGACCTTGATCAATTTCCCATCTACAAAATACCTGCTCAGCTCAGGTTTACTATGTAAATAAATTCATTAATGATTGTGATGTGCTCAGATTCATCACTGTAGTGATGAGCAGCACAGAAAAAGCAGCTGATGAGATAAATTGTTCTGTCTTAAAAGTAAGGTGTGAATCGTGTACAATACATAAGGCATGGGGACACTTTTTAAGCAAAAAGGAGTAAACACAATATTGAATTGCTTCTAATTATTTGAACACTATCCTTTCTGGGCACTGACTAAAGCAGAGATCCTGTAGAAAATCATTCACAACAGCAGGCCAGATGTTTTTCCAGACTCTCCTGTGTAACATTATTCCAGGCGTCTCTGATGATGTCTATGGCTATCTTGGTGTTAAATGTCTTCCAAAATTCTTTGACGTTTGTCTTTTCCTTTGACTCTGTCTCACTGATAAGTTTCTTGAAGGTCCTCTGTAGATTATAGCTCTTGAAAGCTCCAGTAATGCCCTGATCCATGGGCTGGATGAGCAATGTTGTGTTCAGTGGTAAGAACAGCACCTTAATGTTCTCACTGAGGTTGCCAAGGCTTGGGGTGTGTCCTGGAGCTTTATCAAAAAGCAGTCGAATTTTGAAAGGCACATTTTGCCTGTCACAATAAGCCCTCAATTCCAAATGCAGCAGACTGGAAAAATAATCTTCAGACAATGATCCAGTAACCCATCCTTTCCAGTTCATTCTCCAATAAACAGGCAGGTGTCCCTTTGCATAACCCTTAAGTGCCCAAGGGTTTTCAGCGTGGTAAACCATCAACAGTTTGAGTTTGAAGTCGCCAGCTGCATTCGCTCCAAGCAGCAGTGTGCAGTAATCCTTTGTGGCCTTGAACCCTGGGGCAGTTTTCTCCTAGACTGAGATAAATGTTTGACTTGGCATCCATTTCCAGAAGAGTCCAGTTTTGTCTAAGTTGAAAACTTGCCTCATATCGTAGCTTTCCTCCTCAATGGTAGCCTGTAGGATTGAAGGAGATTTATCTGCAGCACTTTTATCAGCAGCTGCTGCTTCGCCCATCAGTTTGAGATTATGAAATCCATGGCATGCTTTATATCTATCAAACCATCTGGCACTTGCATTAAATGGCTTGGCTTCAGGATCATCATGGTTTAACACTTCATAAATGCTGCGTGGCTTTGTTTGAACCACCTGGGTTGAAAGGGGCACGTGTTCTTGATTCTGGTGCTCGATCCATGTTGTCAACATGTGTTCCATTTTCTCCATGACAGCCGATCTTGTTAATGAAACACTGGCAGTAGATAAACGTGTAGCACTCTTATGGGACTTCTTAATTTTCTCCACATTGTCCCTAATTGTATGGAGAGTTGACTCACTGAGCCCTGTAGCACACCTAATTTCCTTTGTCTTCTCACCTCTTTTGTATCTCTTCACAACTTCAAGTTTTTCTTCCAAAGTTATAGCTTTTCTTTTCCTTGTAAAGACAGAAGCACTTATAGAATCACTATTAGAAGCACTCATCTTGAACACAATGGCAACATTGAGGCTGAATCCTAAATCCAGAATCCTGCTTGGGAACCCAGGCTGCGCGTAACTCCAGTCCAGCATTTCACGTATATACATGAATGCCGCATGCCGCGGGGTGTATTTTTCTGCTTGGGTGTTAATATTCATTTGCATAAACATGAGACTCCGGTAAGTCGAATATGCATAAAACAGGGGTCTACTGTATGTGATTGTGAAATTAAAGAGTACATCATAATACATTTATAGGAGAGAGCTAAGAGTATACAGGAACTTTCTATCTTTGCAACTTAATTGACATGAATTACCTTGTGTATCTCATTGACAACTGCGTGTGACCTAGTCACTATTTTTAGAATTAATGATTAACGCAACATTAGGTTTAGTAGGACAGTTTATATATCCTTTCTTTTAATCTTTTGTCTAAATTTGCATTCTCACAGCACTTAACTGTTATGTTGAATGTGTAATGCCACCCTTGTCCTGACCCCAGATGCAGCTTGGGTGCACCTTTGAGAAATATTCTTGGGGTGCTTCCATGACTTTGGTGTGCCCTTTCGCCCAACCTCTGATTAGGGAGGTCTGCCTGTGTCATCTGAGGCTTTTCCCTGCTAGCTGCTCAAGGGACAGGAGTGTTGCCAGACCCCAGACCCCTGCTAGCACTCTGAGGCAAGGGGAGGTGTGCAGTGCATGCATCTGTTGATGATATAGAGATTTTCAATCTCCCTCCCTGCTTCTTTATACTGTCTGTAGCAAACTGACAGGCAAGCAAGCCAGCAGGGAGCTGATAACAGTGTTTATTACCCAATCAGCAAAACAATAGCCTCTCTTCATTAGTTCAGTCTCTTCTTAAACAGCTTACCCGCTGACCTGTTGATTAGCTCCAAAAAGCCCTAAACAGTCATTGTTCTGTCTGCCTGTCCCAGTGAAATTTGAGACAAGCACACACAGACACCTCTTGGCATTAGCTAACATACCACATACCTAGGGTCCATGGGGCTGGGGTCTGTGCTGCGGGAGATGGGAGGGAAGGGGGATTCCTTCTTGAGCATCAAGCAGCAAGGGGGGAGGGGGAGGGCAGGGAGAAGCCAGCCAGATCCTGCTGTGCCTGCAGTCTCCGCAGGAGCTCCAGCCAGGGAGCAGAAGGTAGAGGCCAACTCCATGGTGGAGCAGAGAGCCCCACCCAGCCCAGAGAGCATGCAGGGAGGCTGGAGGAGTCTGGTTTACCAAATAAGTTAAATCTTATACTACAGTCAATCAGGTTTATCTCAGACCAGTTACAGCCATTTTCAAACTAATTTATGTGCACTGAACATCTGTTCTGTTACAGGTTTAAACCAGTTTTTGATCACTTAAACTGGTTTATGTGTAATGTCTGTCCCTAGCCAGGAAGCCTAAAGACAAAACCATGTTCTTGAGGCAGGTTTAAGTACAGTTGCTTCTCTGACTATAGACATATGTTACCTCTGGATTCTTGGAGGGTGTCACATTAGGCACATAACCTCCTGCCCCTCAAAGGTGCATGTTTGTCAGAGCAGAAATATTTCCCGATCTAATTGGCTAAGACAACCACAGTCAAAAAGCCCAAGGTTGAATCAATTCAATCTTCATAGGTTAGTCACTCACTTTTGATTGTTTTTTCATCCCCAGCTTTCCTTGTGAGGTGCAAAACATCCTGGGATACTGAGGGACCGTGAGTTAAGTTGAATCTGGAGGAGATCTGGGACAGAAGATAAATAAACCTATTTAACCTAAATCAGTTAAGTCTGATAGTATATCCATCCTGGTTTATCTTAAACCAGTTTCAGCCATTTTGAAGTTGTTTATGTGCACTAAACTTCTGTTCTGTTACAGGAATAAACCAATGTGTAATCATTTAAACTGGTTTATGTGTAACTTCTGTCCCTGACTATTAGGGACAGGAGAATATGTGCTTCTTTACAGATATGGAGACTGCTAATGCTAAAGATGTTGTCTCTCAGATAATTTCCTCCCACAGCAAGAAATATCCTTCCCCCCAATAGTTTGATTAGCCAGATGTTATTAATGTATTCTCTCCTTTTAAAATGCAAATTCATCATTGTCTGGCACAGCCTGGCTCCTGTGCCTTAGAGCAGTCTGTCTTCATGGGGCATAAATAAATAATCCAAGTCAAAGGCCATTTCTAAGCCATTACTGCTCTTCAGCCATTTAATCATGGAGTCTTTCCTAGGTGTCAAAGAAACTCATTGTTTACTACTTGAAAGTCATTATCATATTGTGTACTGCTGGACCTTTTATAATGTATAAGAAATACATTTAATACCAAATAGCACAAGGCATATAAACACAAGCATAATATAGCTAAATACAGCATGACATTACTTTTATATAAAGGCTACACATGTCACTCAGTAAAACAATTAAAAAAATCCCTTGGGTTTATGACACTGATGTCACACTGCAATCCCTTAGGTTTATGATAGTGAGGTCACATGTTCACTTGCAACAGTTGCAAAGGATTGGCTTGTACTGACCTATTAAAGTTACTATGTGTTAGGAGACAACCCTAGTCTGAAAGAGAATGACTTTGTAACATCACAAGGACACTTAACATTAGGGTTGTGCAAAATTTCTCTGGATGTTTTGTTTTGAAGCTGTTTTCATGCATTTTGAACTTGAAACAGTGAAATTGACACTAAACAAAAGCGTTCAAAACAGCTTCAAAATGAAATGAAGGCACTCAAAATGTTTTGAAACTTTCAAAATGTTTTGAGTTTCGAAGCCAGGCTTAATTGCCTTCAGCTTTGGTCCCAGGTGGCAGCCTCCTGTCATCCAGCACACAGATCTGTGGCCCCTCCCCCGGGAGGACTGCTGGGCTGTGCCAGACTCCTCCTGGGGGTGCAGGCCCCTGGATCTGCATGCCAGACGACAGGAGGCTGCCGCTGCCACCTGGGACCTGTTTTGGGCACAGCCTGTGCCCACTGCCAGGGAAGATTGACGCTGCCACTGGTCCCACGTGGCAGCAGCAGCCTCCTTTCATCTGGCATGCAAATCTGGGGGCCCACACTCCCAGGAGGGCTGTGGGGCTGTGCTGGACTCCTTCCGGGGATGCGGGGTCCCCAGATGTGCATGCCAGATGACAGGAGGCTGTTGCTGCTGCCTGGGGCAATCTTCGTGGCGCTAGGTGTGGGGCACCTGTCCCAGGTGGCAGCAGCAGCCTCCTCTCATCCAACACACAGATCTGGGGGCTCACATCCCAAGAAGGAGTCCAGCACAGCCCTGGAGCCCTCCCAGGGGTGTGGGCTCCCAGATATGTGCACCAGATGAGAGGAGGCTGCTGGCAAGTGTCATGAATTTTGCTTTGAATAGTTTGAAGTGCAGTGTCCCAGAAACCTCTGCACTTCTGTCCTTGAAGCTTGGCAGGCTCCATGTCCTCAGAAGGAGCTACCATATCAGCAATTTTCATCTGAATCAGGCAAGAAATGACAAAGTTTTAGGCATTTTCCTGGTTCCCCATTATAGCCTGTGGGTGAAATGGCGTCAAAACAGTGAAACAGTTTTGATGAAATGAAATGGAACAGGGCTTCGAAATGAAATGAAAAGACAAAACAAAACAAAACAAAACAAAACAAAACAAAACAAAACAAAACACTGTCCCTTCAAAACAGCAAAACGGAAGTCAAAATGAAAGAGTGCTATTTTGCATGGCCCTACTTAACATGTACTAAACTGTTTGAATGTGCACATGCTTGCATTTTAACTCTACTCAGTAAGTGTTAAGTTGAATGTGTGCCATCGCCCTTATAGGATGCAGTCACAGGGTGCTTAAAGACAGCGTTCCCTCTAAGCTGCATGGCGTGCACAACCATGCAGGTGCGCTTATGCTGCTCTGCCAGGCATGCCTGTGCAGCTGCGCACACCACACAACTTAGAGGGAACGCTGGCTTTAAGCATCTTCCCAAAGCTCCAGAGGCATAAGTTGAGTCTTGCTCAAGACTCACGACAATGCCATGTACCCATTTACTCACGCAGTAAATGGGTACGTGGTTGTTCATCTGTGGACTGAAAGGAGACCAGATGTGATGTTAATCATGTTATTCCCTGGTGTGCTATTGGCATGCTTTATCCACACCATTTCCTGATGTGCTACTGGCTTGTCTTAACCACACTAACAGTATGGGCCTTTGGCTGGGGTTGGCCCTTGACATTTCCACAGCTGACTTGGCTCATAACTTTAAGGGGTGACTTTTTAATGTAAGCTTCCTGCACAGGCTCTTGGAAAAAACTAATAAAACTAATAAACCACTTCCACAGCAAATTTCTAGAGAATCATTAACCAGAGATTTGTTGCCTTGGATACTGAGCCAGGTAGATATCCAAGTTTAAAAAAACCCCCAAACAATCTGGCCTATGATCTCAGGAGACAGAAGTGGTGTAGTTTTTCAATGATAATGTCTAAATGACTAGGTATAGAGTGGAAAAAGGAGTGAAATTGTGGCTAGGCAGCTTGATTCTCCTAATGTGAAAAGTAAGATGTCATTTACTGAATAAGCAGACATCCATAGAAAGCAAAACTTTAATAACCTATAAGCAACTCTAACAATTCCTTTATAGAAATGCTTGATTTCCCAGATGTTACAGGGAGCTGTGTTGATGGACACAATATTCTCCCTTGACAGGCATGTGTACTGCTATAGGAATATAGGAGTAGCTCTGCCAATTCAAAGGGTTTCCTTTGTTTTTTCCACGATGTGCTAGGAAAGAGTTAGTGAGACCTATAGCAATGAAAGGATCAAGAAGATATTTACAGTATGCCATTCCATTGAATGCTGAAATAGGGAATTTCACCATCTGTTACATTGAGATCAGGTAGTTTGTATTTAGTAAGGCAGCTGGAGATGAAAGAGAAGAAAAAACGTTTTGAGTAAAATATGTTTGGAGTGTCATTATAGCTGGGATGTTCAGGAAACATGAGGGACAAATATGACAAAGCCCTGGGCTGTCAGGGTGCTCCCAGAGACACACTTTGGGTTTTGTGCAAGCTTAGTGGCCTCCCACTCTAGTGAATGGGTATGCCCAGGTTATTAATTTGGCCAGAAATCAAAATTTACTACAGGTACTTCAGTTAAATAATCAAGAAAATTAAAGTTTATTGCACAGAAAGAAAAAAACTGATCAAATGCTTTGATATGGTAAAACAAAACTGACAAAAACCCTACCCTACTTTCAGACTACCACCTAGCTCTCATAACATTTCTATA